TTTCAATTTTCAAGTCAGAACTTCAATTTAGCATACTGAGGTGTTTGTTTTCAACAAACAACATTCTATGCATAACAGACTCTGTTTTCAAGTAATTTATACAGCATTTTCATGACAAACAGTTCATTCTTTTTTCAATTCCTAATTTTCAAGATTTTGTTGAGAAACACATCACTTTGAATTTTTCATTTTCACTTTTACCTACTTACCATCAATATTTAAACCAAAATATTTTTGTAAAAATACACATTAAATATTTTTCTCTGGGATTCTAAGTTTCTCATCTGTAAATATGTTTGTTTCTCAAAGTAGTGTTTCAATGCAATATGTTTTTCTATTTATCGATTTTCAAAATCTTCAACGCATGATCTCATAGGTTGCAGGACATGCGAGTGTTTGGATCCATGCTCGAAGATATCCTGCAGAGGAGAAGGAGAAACATGTCGTCTGGTTACTGTTGAATGTGTCAACTGGCCTTGTCCATCCGTACCAATGTGTTTACCAAAAAAAGAAAACCCCTGTCAAAGTGGAGAACCGCTGAAACTGGGAAGCACTGATGAATTCGTAAACTGCGGACCTGATTATGAAAATTGTCCTTCATCTCATAAATGTCAACTGAGTCCTGTTGGGGAATATGCTGTTTGCTGCCCAAAACCAAGTATGTTAATAACACTGTATAAAATCTAGATGAAGGACATGGATCATAATTTGAAATATTAAAATGTATGTCCAGTTAAAGTTTATGTACACGCGAATCATAAGGTTTGGATTTTAAGACCAAAAACAAATTGCAGCAGTGATAAACCAAAAGCTAAAACTAATCTCACTTTCCCGTAAGAAATGCCTTTGATTGACTATACCGAACCTTTGCACAACCATGATTAATACAAACTAAATGTTATTGGGCTCATCATAGGTTTTCAGAAATCTCTCATGGTTGATAAAACTCTCTTTATAGGTTAATAATGCTTTTAATAATCTTAATATGCTTTATTACTATCAAAGAGGGTTTTACTCGATAAATGGTACTTCAAGCAAACATTAAACACATAGTATAACTAACTATATATTGTATCCAGCTGAATAAAATTTTTAATTGAATGGTAAAATGAAAAAAAAATTAATATATACACTTTGAACGTCAATAAAGTCACCCCTTTTATAACTTTTAAACGGGACAAGATATCACAGTCGGCCAAAATTTGTATTATTTGGATAAAAATACCAATAGTGTGACATCGCCACAGCGAGGGCACTATCATCTATTTTATCAAATAGAAAGAGGGTCTTGCGATCCTTCACTCTAAAGATATTCAAATTCTCTATATAACGACATTTACTGATTCGAATTTGGATGACCGGTAACGGAGTTATGTGTGGTAATGGAGTTAGGTGTATGAATTGGAGAATAGGAAAAAATGATAATTCGTAACTTTGAAACCAAATGAAGATTGAAACAGCTCTATAATTTATCATCACGGGTTTCAGAAAGTTTGTAATGTGTAAGAGAGAGAAATTTTTCATGGAAATGAATTGTATTTAGAATAAAATTGCTCCGACAAAAAAGCGACCTTCTATTTTCAATCTGATTTAAAAGTTCCACTTAATATTATTATATTTTCAGGAGACGTCTGCTTTGAACCACTTGATAGGGGAAAATGCCAAGACAATGAGGTTTCAAGAAACTTAACAAGATATTACTTCAACTCAAATACAAATAAGTGTGAACAATTCATCTTCAAGGGTTGTCTAGGAAATCATAACAATTTCCACACTGAAAATATGTGCAACATTGTTTGTCCAGGTAAGGAACTCTAGAGATTTTTTAAACTAGTGTACTCGTGATTCATTGATTGTATATAATGGTAGTATCATGTATTACGATATAGAATCAATATGCCAGAGAAGTCATTTTTTCTGGTCAATAAAAAGGTTATTAATATACGCCCCCTACAGTTCCTAAAGTACAATCCACAACACCGGAAATTACTATTACAAAAATTATTTTCACCAGGGTAATGTGGGCTCTTTAAATTATCTTGTAATAATTCAATATATGAAGGAAATATTAATATGTTTCAGAAAGCAAATATCGACGCTTAACTTTATGTCATATGTAACACATTTTTATATTAATGCAATCAAGAGACACAAAATTTCGAGGTATTGAACTGAATATTTCCAATGTCTTGCCTTGCTATTTCGTTTTTATTCATGATTTTTCAGCTTTCTCATGTTTCTTGCAAATAGACATTGATGATTTTTACCTTTACCATCAACGTTAGTGTTATTTACCGGAGTTTTTTATTATCTCCAACCTCTATTCTCGTACGATCGTAAAGGACCTATCAATCCACACATTCCCCGACAAGAAGTTTTAAACCTTAATAAACACCTGGAGTAAATTTTAGCTCAGGGTTATCATGAACAAGTAAAATTTAATGTAAAAACACCAGGCTGTAGTTTTTCTCAAAGACAGTGACAGAACTAAACAATTATTAGGTTTTCAAACAAAATAACAGTATATTTCAAAACAATAACATTTCTAGAACGATAAAGATAGTGGATGGTCTTTTAATATTGCTTACAAAAAATCAGAATAGCTTAGAATAGTTCAATCTCTCTATATACAGAAATAAAATTTGTACTTGCAGAGAGAAATTTTGAGCTATTTTTATTACTAAAATAAAAATATGTTTACAAAACATAACAACTATGAAAAATTGATAATCTGAATGAGATAAAATATTTTCATATAATTATATACGGACGACGGAAGTCAACGGCTAATGGACTATTCTAAAGACATTTTGCCCTTTATATATTTATATTTTTGATAGGGCGCTGTGTTTCGAAGATACGGGGCAAGAAAGAATTTCGACAATAACAATTTTGGTAATTTAAAAATCATTAACGTAGCCGAAATAAAAGTATAGCGTACTACACTGGACGTACCAAGTACTAAAAAATCCAACAATTCCTTTGGTACCTATCAACAACATTCCGATTAATACGAACAGCTGCAGACATTCAATTGAATTTGCTGGATGTAACGCAATCCTGATGTTTTTGAAAGAGCTCGGGAGTCGATCAGCAGAAAATCAGATAACCTTCAAAAGACAAAATTTCCTTAGAATGGTCCAAGGAATAGTCCCTTAATAAACACCCTGTATAATATACCGTCATTGAGTTGTGTTACATTAAAGAAATATATAAACTCTTTATAAAATACATTTTCTTTCAAAAATATTTGTACCTTTCTGGAAAACTCAACTAGGTTCAGTTACGTCCACTCAACTACATGTTTTAAGAATGCTTTTATTCAAAGTACTGGGTCCTTATGGAATAAACTTCTCTTAAGGAAATTCCTGGTGTGCTTATATTTCTCCATAAAAGATACAAATATCACTTAAATAAAGAGAACATTGTCGGCCATAAAATTTTGAAAAAATAGTGTAACCATAATACGAACACATTCTTCCACAGTTTTGTCCCAGTGTGAGCGGCTAAGAGAAAAGAATCAAAGAGCAGCAGTACGTTACAAGAAACCCACATTCACTCCTAGATGTGAGCCAAATATAGGTGCTTGGCAAGCTGTACAATGTCTTGAACATGTTGGAGTCTGTTGGTGTGTTACTCCACAAGGAGAACCTTTAAAAGGTACCCTAACAAGAGGAGCGGAACCAGAATGCAATTTCAGACAAGCCAGGCATTGGGCATCGGATAGATCGGATTTCATTTCTGATGGGGATCTAGGTGAGATTTTTTTATTAAAGTATGTTATCAGCTATAACAAAACCTCGTGTCAAGGTTGAAAGAAGAGCTTATAACTTTTGAAAGTCAGAAACTCATGTTTATGATGATTCAACATAATTCACAGTTTTTCGTATAAAGAAAAGAAGTCTATTAATTTCTGTAGTATATAAATTTCACAAATGCTATGTTACTTATCGCTTTAGGCTTTGCCAAACAAAGATTGAACACCTGGATGGCAAGAAGATTTATGGACTTCTGACAGAATCTTCCAGGATAGGCTCACTCCAAGGCGTTCATTCACCCTTCGAACAGTTGTTGGACTATAGTAGGGATGAATTACGATGACTAACAGGCCTTCTCACAGGTCACTGTCATTTGAATCTTCATATGCAGAGACTCGGACTGTGTGTTCCTCTATTAGGAAAATAATGAAACAGCAGAGCACATACTTTGTGCCTGCCCCGCTGGGGACTGAATCAGGTTTTTAGAGTTCGGCAAAACCGTACTCTTACCATCTGACCTGAAAGACCACTCACCATATAAGCTAATCGACTTCGTTAAGAAGCTGAGTTTATTTATTCGAGTGTGAATAGGTGTGAGCCACAATAAACCCTAGCGGGTTGCGGTGGAGGTTCGAATAGACCCACTCACTTTGGACCTAACCTAACCATATTAGTCTAACTATTAATTTTCAATAATAACACACTTTCAACTTGATAAATAGAATCTGGAACCTTTTATGTAAACTGAATCTATTGAAATCAAACAACTTCTAAATTTCAAGTAGGTATACCAAACAATATGATTCCAACATCGCTTACTTGTCAAACTTTTCATAATTTTGTATTAGATTAGACAGTTAAGTAATTACAAAATTATCAAAACAACTTAATTACTTGTCACTTTCGAGTGAATCAAATTTTGATTTGTGATTTGTATAACTCAAAATTGTCTACCTTTGTTGTGAACTTTTTTTATAATATATATGTACAATCAGGGCCGTCGCCATGGGGGGAGCCTCTTCCCCTGCTTTTTCGACTTGGGAAATAGTTGGGAAAAGTTGGGAAATTTTGTCTTGAAGAGAATTCTGAGTTGTTTGAAATCTTTAAAAAAGTTTAATTTCTCCCAAGTAAGAGAACAGTCCACAAATTTTGACGTGATAATTTTACAAAATTCCCAATTTTTCGCTGTTTTTCCGACTTGGAAAAGTTGGGAAATTTTGGGACGTGAAGATAGAAAAAATAATAGTAGAAAACAATAAGCACAATATTATTTAAGTGTTGTTTCCTTTCATTTGTATTGAATATTCCTATACACGGTGGATATGGTGGAAGACCAAGGACCTTGGTCCAAAGTAGAATAATTTCCATTATTAAATTTTTTAATTACCAACATTTATTTTTGTTTGTGCATACCCTAACGGGCATAATCATTCAGCCAAGCTTTGGATAGCTAAGTAAGAAAATCAATATATTATAGTAGTAACTAATCCCCCGGCTTTCATTTCTTCGAAAGTTGGGAAATTTTGCTGGTGGAGCTGAGAAAATTTGGATTCCTTCCCCCCTGGTTTTTCTTTTCGATACGACCCTGTGTACAATGTATCAAACCACAACAATAAAGACACGTTTTTGAAGAAGTAATTTCAACAATATACTCAAAAGAATTTTTGTAACCATCATTTTCCCAACATTCCCAAAAATATGAAGTTCTTAAAATGAATTCAGATTGAAACTAATAAAAAAACTGATTTCGTACTTTTTTCGAATTTACTTGAATTTCATACACATTTGGAACATGGGACTCTTTTAAAACAGATGTTATGTCTAATTTATTCATGATAATCTAATATTAATATTATTTGTATTCAGTTCTGGAGGAACTGATGATGCAGATCGGTTCAATCGATGACGTTGATGAGCCGTCAGATTTGAAAATTGAAGATGATCTTATGAACTGGAAAGTACCTTCTATTGGTCGCTGTGAGTCTTTAGGAGGCCAATGTGATGGTGAAGGGAAGTTTTTGCCAACTCAATGTGAGGAAGAAACGTGTTGGTGTGTGGATGAAGCTGGAAATCAATTGCCAAATACCAATACTTTCATGAAAGGAGAACGGTTATGCTGTAAGTGAATTGCCTATGTAGATATCCAACACATACAGTATTTTGACTCCACATCTTACTTGAACATACTATTTTCAATGAAGAATACATGTATGTAAGATCTGTTTGGAAAGCTGAGTGTTTTGCTTTGTTTTCCCAAACAGGCTTTTGAATTTTCAATATATTGTGAACAATAAGAGGAAAGAACTAAGAAGCTACTAATAAATGGTAGGAGTTTTTTAGGACCGACGGGTTTCTGGAAACATAAAATGTACATTCTGTCATACTGAGAACTGTTTATAGTTCAGACTTCCATTGCCTTGACAAGTATTAAATCATCTTCAGGTGAATAACTATTATCACTATTTCTCCTGAATTTCAATTTCTATGATTGTTTTTGCATTATTGACATTTAACTTTTTAACCCATTCAATAATTAATTTCCATTTTATGTTAAATATTTTTACATATTCGAGTTTTTATATTTCCAAATTATATTTCTTTGAATTTTATGATATTAAATGATGGATGTAGCCGTATTTTGGATGTAGTTTAATGTATAAGTTTGAAAATGTCTTATAGGAAGAAACTGCAGTAACGTTAGTTACTAATAAAAGTGGTAAAAAACATAGAAAGTTTCAATTCTCTTTTCTTCTTTATGATATTACTTTTTCCTTCCAACTAGTTCACCTGAAAATTTCGGTCTTAGTAGTTTTAGTATACATATTTTTCTTCTGATAGATTTCAAATATGTTAACACTTTTTTAGATAATGGAACTCAAAACATTCTACAAGGAACACGGTCAATCCCATTCAAACAAATTTCAAAACAAACGGTTATATCATTACAGAAAACTCAGTAATATTATATGCTGAAAAACCAACATGAAAAGATTCAGATTCAAAAAGTTTCTAATTAAAGGTTACTTAGCAAAAAATGAGCAGAACTGAATCTGTTGAACTTCAGTGACTATCGGACATCTTATTTAATCATTAGTAAAGTTTCTGCAATATAACAGGTTTTTCTAGGTTCTTAACAAAGTTATTCAAGAAACTTCATTTGATAAATTTGAAACTATTTTCAGATAAGTGTCAGGTAGTCGATGAAATAAAAGTAAATATCGGTCATACACAACTCAAGAGTAGGCCTATTTGCAATAAATTAAGTGCGCAACTTTTTTTTATCATGACGATAGAAATCAAAAAGTAAACATTGTACATGTGAGGGAAACACACTTTTCAATGACTTTTTTATAAAAACGGTTAATGTTTTTAAATATTTAAATGTTTGCTCAAAAATTTTGGAGCGGCAATAGTGGATTTGATTGGACTGTATTGGCCCACGTCCTTATTATGCCACTCAATATAGGACATATAGTAAGGCAAATCAAATGTGTTGAAGAAATTATTTCGTATTTCATTGTTTTATAATAGACTTAGTTATATAGTTTCCAAAACCGAAAAAAATGGAAATTTATTTATTTTTTCTCAAAAAAATGGTACTTATAAACAAGCAATAGAAAGCTGCTCGTGTACCTTTAATATAAATTTCTAACAGAAAAAATATTTTGTATATTTTGGTGTATCTTTCATAATTGAAGTATGAATTTCTAACAGAAAAAATATTTTGAATATTTTGGTCTATAATATCGATAAAGAGCACACTCATTTCTGAATAAATGTGTCGATTATCTTATTTTTCCAAATCTGGTTTCTGTTTCTTGATAACATAATAACAGCTCGAATTATTTCCAGCTACCACTCCTATTGAAAAGGCAGATGTGACGCTCGGTTTTCGAGGAGAGTTTGACGATATTTCAGCCGTTCCTGTTGTTAATCAGATAACGAAAATCATTAAAAGTCTCAATGGAAATGTCAACAGTGAAGGACTCAGAGCGGAAACTACACCCGATGCTCTTTACATAAAATTTGCTCTTATTGGCAGCAATAAGGTTGACGTAGCCTACAAAATGGAACAGATGGTGAGTTCCTCTATCGGGTATGACCCAAAATTTCAGTCCAACCATGATTTACACTTGCATATAACTTGTAATGTTATTTGAAAAATGTCTTTAACCGATTAAAACTGTTAAACATTAACAGGGAGATATTTTTGCGAAATTTTGACTTATAAACTTATCTGTTCTTTGTTAAATAGTTGAGTATCTTGATGAAAACTTTTCACATAGTTGGCATGTTTCCAGATAAACCTCATCAATCATAAAATCAAAGCAGGTATTACTGTTTTTGAGGCTACTGAGAACTATCGTGGAGTCATGTCAATGTTCGAAAATGACATTATAATTTAAGTTGTTATTAATATGGTTTTTCAACAAAATTAATATTATTTCACGATATACTGTGCTGAGTAATTGAGTGCCACTTATTCTCTTATCTATATCTACCTACTGCCTAGGACATAGAATAAAGAAAATACTTTTGTCTAGTTTCTACTGTGTTTATTTATTTGTTACGACCGGTTTCGGCTTATAAGGCCATTTTCAAATAATTACCCCAAATTGTCAAGTTGCATCTTAAATAGTGTGGACAGGTATCTGCTCTAGGTACCTGACCTAACACGTTACCAATATTACAATATGTCACGATTACCAACTATTGGATGGATCCTAAAATTCCTAAATTCAAAAGGGGCGAGCTGCATGGATCTAGTTGGTCGTTGAGCGTTATGAACTTGGGGTCCTTGTACAATTTATTTATTTCCAATATTGAAAATATTGTATGATCCGAGTTCCCCAATATTTCAAGAAGTATAACAAACTACCACTGTGTCCAATGAGCAATGAGAACTACTCCAACAGCTGCATTGGAGATACTCCTGAATCTACCTCCTTGACACTTTGTGATAATGAGGGAGGCTAGGATGGGCCAATTTAGACTGGTAAACTCACCGAACTACAAAAGATCGGACCCAACAGAAATTTCGGAACATGTAGAGGAGCACATATTGAATATGTGCAAACAGAAACATATTGAATATGTGACCTTGCAAACAGAAACAAATTGACTTTGTACTGGGTGCCAGGACATTCAGGAATAACAGGTAATGATAAAGCTGATGAATGCGGTAGACACGAATCATCAACTTCATATATAGGTCCTAAACAAGCTCTGGGTGTACCAAAATCATTGATACGAAACCAGATTAGGACATGGACCAATAAGAAGCACACAGAGTACTGGACAAAAGTACCTGGCAACAAACACAGTTAAACCTTCATTAGGGGACCGTCCGAGAAAAGAACCGAAGAACTACTTCAATACAGTAGGGATCGGCTCAGAATAATCACAGGATTACTAACCGGTCATTGTTCGCTTAGAAGACACCTGAATGAAATGGGGCTGTACAACGGATACCTCAGCTGCAGACTATGCAACAAAGGGATAGAAACAGCTCTACACATCTTATGCGAATGTGAGGCACTGAATCACAGGAGACAGGCAATATATGGACGTACAAATGTTGTTGGACTACAGTAGGGATGAACTATGATGTCTAACAGGCCTTCTTACAGGTCACTATCATTTGAATCATCATATGCAGAGACTCTGACTGTCGGAAGACAGTGTGTGTCGCCTGTGTTTGGAAAATGATGAAACAGCAGAGCACATACTTTGTGCCTTCCCCGCTGAGCACCGAATCAGGTTTTTAGAGTTCGGCAAAGCTGTACTCTTACCATCTGACCTGAAGGACCACTCACCATAAAAACTAATCGGCTTCTTTAAGAAGCTGGGTTCTTTTGGTCGAGTGTGAATAGGTGTGAGCCACAATAAACTCTTGCGGATTGCGGTGGAGAGTCGAATATATCCACTCACTTTGAACCTAGTCTAACCTACTCTCTTACCTAAGAACCCATAAAAAGTCAACAATATCATAATTTCTATATCTATTGAAGAATATTTTTTATATTTCCAAACTCATCAAGGCTCCACCACTCCACTGCATTGGAGACACTCCTGAATCTACCTCCTTAACACTTTGTGATAATGAGGGAGGCCAGGATGGGCCAATTTAGACTGGTAAACTCACCGAACTACAAAAGATCGGACCCAACAGAAATTTCGGAACATGTAGAGGAGCACATATTGAATATATGCACGGACCACATGACACAGAATTACACCTGTAACACAAACTTCACGGACAAAATCATAGGCCGTGAAGAGTGGAAGACCATTAGTCATCCCGAAAACATGTTTGGAAAAACACCTGGTATACACATGGAACGGGAGCTGGAATATACCGAGCGGAAAGGAATTGAAACTACAGTTATCCGCTAGGAGTATACACATCCGTCTTCCAGGCGGAAGTGTATGCTATCTTGCAGTGTGCAAGGCTTATTAAATTGAGACATCAAAGAAATGAGCGGATCAATATTTTAACAGACAGCAAGAGCGCACTAGGGGCTCTGACAAACCCGAAGGTGACATCAAAACTGGTCTGGGAATGTCATGAAGAACTGAATGAACTTGCAAACAGGAACAAATTGACTTTGTACTGGGTGCCAGGACATTCAGGAATCACAGGTAATGATAAAGCTGATGAATGCGGTAGACACGGATCATCAACTTCATATATAGGTCCTGAACAAGCTCTGGGGGTACCAAAATCATTGATACGAAACCAGATTAGGACATGGACCAATAAGAAGCACATAGAGTACTGGACAAAAGTACCTGGCAACAAATACAGTTAAACCTTCATTAGGGAACCGTCCGAGAAAAGAACCGAAGAACTACTTCAATACAGTAGGGATTGGCTCAGAATAATCACAGGATTACTAACCGGTCATTGTTCGCTTAGAAGACTATGCAACAAAGGGATAGAAACAGCTCTACACATCTTATGCGAATGTGAGGCACTGAATCACAGGAGACAGGCAATATATGGACGTACAAAGTTACGTCCAGAAGAATATGACGAACATCCAACACGGAACCTGTACAAACTAGTACAGGGAACGAGACTGATGGAAAGGTTGTCATGAGAAGATGGGAGAATAAACGCATTAAGTCCAAGAGGCTGCAGTGTTTTATGGAGACTTGGACTAAATGGACAAGTCAGACAGCTCTCAAGGGATAAAAAAAACCAATGTGTCCAGCTAGGCAATTGGTTGTCATGGTTCACCCATCCCTAGCTCTCTTTGAAAAGTACTGTGGGCTTTGTCAAATCAGAAACTTATGAAAAAGTTCCACTTTCTTGTCTATATGCAAGAATAATCACTAAAATCTTTCTAGTTAAAAGAACCCATATACCCTGTATACAAAATGCAATAATTCTCATATTCTTGCACTTAAGAAAAAATAATTCGGGTTTCTTTATTACCAAGGGCATCATTCAATAAAGTGACCAATTTTACACAAGGAAGGGAAAAATATATTCATTCATTTCAATGTTGATGGCAAAAATTTCTGAGAACTACATTTCAGATCGAAATTTCCATTAGCAGTACAAAAAGATTAACTGTCAAGTTATTTAACATTTTTTTACAGATGAACCATATGAATGACCAGAAAATTGTTGAAGAAAGTGGATTCATATCTACAGATAATCGTCCAATATATATTGAGCTGCCAAATGACAAGGAAAGTTCCTTAAAATCAGATTTGAACACAAAGAAATTATAACAAATAAGCTAGCACATAATAGTATCACATTGTAAAAAAGTAGTACCTAAGTATTATTACCTTATAGTTAGTATATACTTATGCCATTTGGTCAGAGCATATTTGTGATTTTTTTATTAATATAAGACTTGCTAGACTGTAATTTTTTGTACAGATTTTACCTATATGGCAATATCTCTATAAGTTATTTATGAAATTAAATTGTAATGAATAACTTGAAGTTTCATTAAATTACTGTTTGTGCTATTTCATGGAAAAATTCATATTCTTCAGAACGTATGACATAGCAATTTCTGGTACATAACATTCATCTAGTGTGTTTCAATTAACAAAATTCATACTTCAACCCCAAAAGTGAATAAAATCCAAATCGCTGAGGAAATATTGAGGAACTCATTTTGTAAACTACAGAGCTTGTAACATAAAGGTGATATGATGAAACAAGTTATGTTACTGTGTTACACTATGAAATGTTGAGGTAATGTTGGATTTTATTTTTACTACTGGAAATATTGATATATCTATCATTTATTAGTGAATATAAGCAACATTTTAGAAGAGTTGTATTATGTCACACGTTTTGAGTTGATCAGTGGGTACATACACTGCTGGCCCTATCACATGGTGAATGATGTAAGGCACCTAGCTCTAAGGGATGCAGGGCGCGCCTATTATAAGAATTAAGTTTGATTAAAAAATTATGATTTTTTTCTTGGCTTTCAATAAAGCAAGTTTTAATTTTTCAGTTTGAAAATATACTGTCTTTACTGATGACTGAATATTATTGAAACAAACATATGGGATCGTCAGAGAAGTCAGTCCTTTAAAATCGATAAACAAGGCTTCAGCCTAGCACCACTGATGAGGCCTATGACGGATCGAAACAGTGCTGTCTGGTGTTGAATCATAAATGTGTTGTATTTGAGCTTCAACTAGTTGCCTTGAAGTGAGAACTGTAGTAAAAAACCGAGGACGAATCTTGTCGACCTTACTTGCACAAGATTGTCCTTCAAGGACAGTTGAGTCCAGAAACGCATTTTTGGTTCAGCCTAGACCTATGGCGGGTTGAAACAGCGCTGTCTGACGTTGAATCACAAATGCGTTGTTTTGGGACTCAGGTTTTCAATTATCGAAACAACTAAAAATTTTGATAGATGTTTGATATCACCATTAAACATGTCCCTGAAAGTTCAATAGTGTAATGAAACATACAGGTCTGTATTGAAAAATCCAAATTGTGAGTGGCTCAAAAGAAAATACTACATCTTTTGAAATACTTCCTTCAGTATATTTCTGCAACTACTTGAAAGCTGTAATAACAAACTAAACAGTTTTTGGAAATGTTTTCGATTAAACGTGTTTTGATAACCATCATGTCACTAGGAAATATCATTTATTTTTCCATACAAATCTAAATTTCATAATAAATTTATGTATATACTTAAATGAACAATGCTAATAAGAAATTCCTGAGGTTTGGTATGTTTAAAATTATCAGGAAAAACAATTGTTTTGCCAATAGTAATATATTGTTTTCTAATGATTATGTAACCAAATATACACAAGTTCCCTAATGTCTGCAGTATTTAAATAACACTATTGTGAGATTTCCACTAGACAGTTTAGAAAACCGCAACATGTGTTTCTTTATACAATATCTTTCTCAGGCATTTACAGTATGAAAGAGCTTCAGGAAGGAATCTTTCTATCCTTTATAGTTGTACCGACCCCGGGGAAAAAGGGATTCGAATGAACTCGTTATTTGTAGCCTTCCCAAGCAACCGCTTTTTCCTCCAGTAACTATTTGTCGCTAGCTTGAAATTTTCAAATTTTTTTCTACCAAATCAACGTGCATTTTTTGGTCAAGCAAACCAATTAATTTCTGATAATAAAGCTCAATTTGTTCATTTTCCATGTGATAATCTAATTATTAACCAACCCATAAGATGATACGAATAAACAGTGAAGCCAAATTTTAAACATTTTCAAACCTTTTCATAAATTCCGACTACAACTACATGAACACCATAACTGAGACCGAACAAGCATATGAAATTTTCTACACGGAATTCAGCTCGTGCTTCAAAAAGGCTTTTCCCATTGAAAAAATAAATATTGGCGATAAAAATTCTTTTGAAGGCTGGATTACAAATAGCATAAAAAGCCCATGTAAAAATGAACGCTTCTTATTGCAACTCAGCAAAAGTACGATTAACGCAAAAATACTTGCCTACATACATCAATATAAACAAACAATATAAAATACAAAGCTTTTGCATTACCAATGGTTGTGTTCAGAACCAAAAGTTTTGTATTTCAGCAATACATAGGTATTAATCAATCATATCTCAAGAAAAAGATCTTTCAAAAATAAAAGTATTCATTTAAGTAAAGATGGCAGTAAAATAAAGAAGCAAAGGAATTTCAACAGCTCTTTATCAACATTGTGAATCCAACAAAGTACTATCCAAGTCATGAAAGTAATAACGAATATCTACATAATATGAATATGAACTTTCTTTGTGGTGTGTGTGGATGTGATACATTCTAACCCAGATGTGTTAGAATTACTTTTCAAACTTTACCGTGACGCATCGGAAGTAGAGCTCGTCATTAATGAAAATCAAACAAGCCCACATTAATGTGGGAACAACCATATCAGTGAATTATGCCTACTTCCACAGTTTGCTACAGTATGACATTGAGTTCTGGGGCTTGTCAACCCATGTGCTTATGACATTCACAATTCAGGAACGAACTTTTTGTACATTGTTTGGTCTCAGTTACAGCATGTCTTCCAGGAATTACTTCTTTGTACATAATATACTTACACTCAGTAATATGCACATTCACAACATATCATTATTAACACATAATAACAGAAATGACCTACAAACTCGTAGAACGGTCGATTTTCTGGGAAAGACACCACCCACTATTCTCACACTAGAATCCACAATGCCGGAAATTATTTTTCAACAACATCCAGTCAGGCGAATACTGAAACTGCTCAATATCAACAAAGGGTCTGGTCCATCATAAAAAGTGCGCAAATGAACTCGCACCAGTGTTTTGCAGACTTTTCAACCTGCCTTACAAGAGGTTTTTCCTTCTTGATGGAAGATTGCTTGCTTTCAGCCTATTACCAAAAAGGGCAAGAAAAATCTTTTAAATAACTATAGACCAGTCGCTATGCTAACAGTGATATAAAAAATTATGGAGAAAACCGTAAACCACCACATCCTTAAATATTTGGTAGGTTTCAACATCTGGAGCCATCATTAATATTGCTTTCGAAAACAAAGATGAACAGGCGACTTTCTATCGTATGTCACCCATATTTGGAATAAAGCAATTGAGAAATATGAAGAGTCAAGACCTGTCGCGCTAATATTTCTAAAACCTTTGACCATGTGTGTCATTAGGGTTTGCTGGCCAAACTTCGATGCTATGGCTTGTCGGATCATTTTTGCATATGGCTCTCCAGTTTCTGAAAGAACAATCCCTGCAAGTGGCCGTCGATGTATATTTCTTGAATACTTTTACCATCAACGCTGGTATTCCTCTATCGTCTCCAACCCTCTTTCCATTGAATATCAACGACTTATTAGGATAAAAAACAATAATCTAATATATTGCATTTCTGACGACAGCACACTTGTTTCGTCATTCCATTTGGATTCCAGGACATCTGCGGCGGATGCGCATCTTCACCGGCAGGAGAAGGTTGCGTATCTTAATGAGGATCTAGAAGTAATTTAGAATTGGGATGGAAGTAACCAGGTCCAATTCAATGCCACAAAAAACAGGCAACGGTTATCTTCAAAAAGATAAATGCCCCAAACCGGATATAATAATGTCAGGTCAGACAATTCCACCTTCTGGTTCGATGAGTTTGTTGGGGGGTTAGAATGGACACCTATATGTCTTGGCACAATCATGTCGCTGGAATTGCAAAAACCGCTTCTCAAAAGCTTAGAACACTGTTCCGAAGCAGAAAACTGTACACACCTCAGCAACTTTTAATGATTTATAAAGCTCAGATCAGACCTTCTTTGGATTATTGTTCTCATGTATGGAGCTGCGCCCCTAAGCATACCCGGAAGCTGCTGGATTCCATCCAGAAAAGATCCATCCGCCTGATTGAAGACGCGAACATCACTTGCAACCATGATAGTCAGGAATCTGGAACATTGAAGAATGGTTGGAGATTTGTCTCTCTTCTTTAGATACTTTCGCGGGAAGTGTTCAAGTGACTTGGCACATTTGATTCCACCAAGAGAGATACATATCAGAAACACGTGACGGACTGTGGCTGCTCATCGTTTTGAGGTTCAACTTAGTACACCTCGAATTTCACTGTTCAAAAACTCTCTCATTTGGAGATCTGCGTTTATGTGGAATAAACTTCATGAGAACGTTTTTCCAAATGGATTCAATCTCCAGCGATTCAAACCCAATGTAAATCTCCACTTTCGCACAGGCACCGCTCTTAGAGCGCCTTAAGGATTTTCCTGTAGTGCTTGTGTTTTGTCCTTAAAAAAGATTCAGAAATTAACTTTTCCAAACTATAAATATAATCACATCTGCATCAGGAATCAAAATTTATAATCATCTAACAGATGAAATAAAACAATCGTTTCATATTCTATTATCGAAGTAGAATAAATGTCATTACGTACTGTCATCGATAACATGAGTAGATTTAACTCATTCTTGACATAAACTCATTATTTGATAAATGAATTGAGGGTTTCATCTTGTAATGTTAGCCAGATTGATGCTGAAGAGGCAATGAGTCAAGTGTATTATTTTGAAAGATTGGATATCCGCCACTGAGGATGACAGTTTTCTATGTAAGTAAAATTTTATTTTTCATATAAAAATGAATCAAAACCATTTTCATAGTACTAAATGTGAGGAAAACTAGACCACCGTACCCATTGCCTTGTTATCTTTGATAAAGCCTACCGCAGTTGTAAACGAAACGACAGACATAAAAACCTGCAGATCAAACAGTTATCTTTAGTAATGAAAGTTCACATTCTCTGAATAATATGGAGATATTTAAGATTTACTTTATGAAAACTAAATATCAAGTTTTTGGTTACAATTAATAGATTTTCTTTAATGAACAGAGTCAAATTAACATTCTTATTATTTTCTTTTTATCTTGATTATTCTAGAATAAACAATTTTTCACATTAAAACAAACCCTTTCCATTATCATAGCACGTGCATGTACCTTCTGGAAAATCATCAATATTGATGATAGATAAACTCCAATGTTAGATAAAATGGTATTATTAATATGAACATTAACTAAAATAATTTTTAACTCCAAGGAAAAAGTCAACTGAACATAATTTAATTTGAGGAATTGAGATAAAATGTCTTTAACCAATAGCTGGTTAATGACTTTGTCTAATACTAATTTTTATGATAAAATTATTTAAAAGTTTCTCCATAACAAATGCAAGATTATAAAATGATAGTATGAATATATCTTTCGCTTTCTCGTTCACTTAAAGTACTGAGATTTCTACCACGAATTTTTTTCTCATCCAGTTTTACCAATTGAAGAGTTTTTCTTGAAATCCACACAGGGACTGGGACTGGAAATTCTCAATTAAACCAAGCCAATTATAAACTGGGAGTGGGAGACCCTCTATCTCTTTTGTTATTCTTTTTATTTTTTGGTTTATCTCTTTTCTTTGTGGATCCCGAACTAGATGCTGAATCAGCAGGGGAAGTGCTATTGGAGTGATCTTGGAGGTGAAGAATATCTCTCAGGTTAGTTAAATCATCATCATCGCCTTCTATATCTACATTCACTGGATCAACTACTTCAGGTTCAAAATTTTTCTTAGGTGTTCCTAAAAATTAATGATATCAACCAGGCTTGAAGTAGAAAAATTCAATGACATAACACAACACGACTATTGTTAAATTTCATCTAAGAGTAACAGCTACACAAAGAAAACGATTCGATTATCTCTTTGGAAATATCTTCAAAATATTATTAATTTTTTAGGAGAAATTAAACAACTATGGTATGGAAGTAAAAGAGCACATTTTATAAAAAAAATTAAACCCAGAAATCAACAGTTCAATTACCAGAAGCTCTTGACTGATTTTTTCATTTTAATGAAACGTCATTAGGTTTTTTACAATAGCTAAGCAAAATTTTTCAAATTCAAAAAAGGTAAAAACTATACCTATGCATTTCAAGATTGATGTTGCCTCCTAGATATATGATGTCATATAAACAAAATCTATTTTCTCTTTCGTATTACATTCTATTTTAATTTTTGATAATAGCGATATTTTTGACACTGATCACATGAACGTATCATGTTTTGTCGATAAATCATGTTTTTTTTTGTATAATTACAATTACAAGTTTTCAGAAAAACATGAAACATATTCTATTCCAGTCTTTACTGTCCAAAAGAAAAAGGCTTTTGTTAATATTTGAAAATGAATATTTCACTCTTGAGACAGTCTCAAAAAAAATATGACAACACGATTTTGTATCTGTTTTCCTTAAGTTAATGGGAAATGCTGGTGTTACCATCACCTGGTCTATAACAATTGGATATTTAATATACCTCTTTTCTTGCTTCCATTCTTATCCTTCTTCTTTTTTCTTCTCTCTACTGAACTCCAGTCGCCATCATCATCATCATCACTAGGTAAACCTCCATATGAAGAATTGTCTTTACTGCAACTAGCCACCCTTCTGGTTGCATTTCTAGATCTACTAACTCTCCCCATTCCCATACATGTTTCTAAGTGGGGTGCAAACCGAGTTGCCGCAACAGCACGATCACAATTTGGGCAAACACAGTCTTGAGTTTTTTTCAAATTAAACTGTCCGAAAATATCAATTTCTGAAGATTCGACTTCTTCACAACCATCAGCTACATCTAAGTCATAAGCATTTGTCTTGTATTTACGGTGCTGGTCGAAAATTATTCCTAACGTTAGTTCGTCAATTAAATTATTAAGGAAATTATCTACAGACGCCCGTAGTTTTTGTTTATCACTAACTAGTTCATGTAAGTCCTTCGCTAAGTTAGTCAATACTTGTTTATGATCAGGTTTTTGTTTTTTTGACATGACTTAGAATTTGAAATTACCGCCACTGAACCGATTGACAACTTAACCTATAACGTACTAAGGAATTGCGGTATACCGGAAACCCTAAGAAATTAAAATAATAAACATCTGTTTGAAACCTTATAAAACATTATTAACCACATTAGAATACGAAACCAAAACAATTACACTTAAGCAATCCACTAATTCACTATCTGTGCTAATGAGTTGTGAGTTGTGAATAGTGCACTAGTGCACACCAGATTCAGATTCTGATAACACAGAGGCGTAACATCTTTGGCGTAACAATAGGAAATTCTAAATAGATTTGTTATGGCTCTGTATTTCGATCTATTAGAGAACCACTCAAAATTAAATAAAATCAATGCGGAGGACATAAAAAACAGTTGCAGAACAGTTCTGTAACAGTTTTCATAAATGAAAAACCAAAACAGAAAAATCAATGATTCCGTAGTTGGGGAGTTGTCATTAATTTTTTCTCAGTTGTTTAATTTGTAATTGTAATTACATTATTGAAATTTTGGATGAATGAGCATAAAGAATAAGCATATGTAAACAAAGGGAAATTATAAGAAGTTATGGAGTTGTCAAAAATAAAGTTAAATAAAACACACATAAAGCTATGATTTCGAATAAACTCTAATTTCACAATGATGCTTGGACCTTGCCATTATTTACGAAATACAATGTCATTTAAATGACCGCCTCTAGATGGCTGCGGCAGTCGATCCTTTCGAGGTAGTTTTTGACCACTTTTTGCACATTTCGGGCGGTATCTCGGCGATAACTTGACGAATGTTGGTTTTCAAATGCTCCAACGTTAGGGAATTATTAGCGCAGGTACGGTCTTTGACGGGGCCTCACAAAAATGGGCAACTGACGTCGCCAAAACGTGAAATTACGCACTGGCTCTCATGCAATTAAGCCAAAATCGGTCGTGTTGTATGGCTCGTGGCACCGTCTTGTTGAAAATACATATCGCCCAGCTCATAATCTTCAATTTAAAAAAAAGTCGGTTATCATATAGCCATACCGCTCTAAAATTGACGGTAATAGTTCTTCTAGCGTCATTTTCAAAAAAAATGCCGTAGAAGCGACATTTTCGCCAGTACACACATTGCGATAATACACAGACTTGGCCACATCTGTAACATGTTCAGTCTCTTCAAATTACTTTATAATCTTGCCAATTCCTTGCACAGTAGGTCGATTATGACGACCATAATCACCCCGTAAAACTCGAAAAGTGGGCATGTTTGAACCACCACATGTGTAGTGAGTTTTGACTATTTTTACGCGTTCTTCAGTTGTAAAATGATTCATATTGATAAATGGCAAATCTTTCACATTGTTGCATTGCCGACAGCCTTGCCAGAACGGCAGTTTGAAACCACTAAATGGATAACTCTTTACATTTTATACACGGCACAAATTAGTGCTAACTTACGGAAGCGTAGAAAGGCCACATGTTATTTTTATTTGTTTCTTAGAAACTACGACTTTGAAACTTGAAATTTCGACTTAAAACTCTAAATTACGACTTTAAACTCGAAATTTCGACTTTATTCTCGTAATTTTAAAATTACGACTTCAATCTCGTAATTTAGAATTCAAACTGTAACATACGAGATTGAAGTCGAAATTTCGAATTACATGAGTCGTGCTATCGAAATTACGAGATCAAAGTAAAAATTTCGAGATTAACGTCGAAATTTAGAGTTTCAAAGTGGTAATTTTCAATAAACGAATAATAAAAATATGTGGACTTCCTGTGCTTCCGTATACTATAGAAATATATTCATTGTCCATCTTCATAACCATTAATGTGTGTACATTTTTGTCGATGTTATCATAGTGTTGTAAATCATGGCCTAAAGAAAATAATGTCGGCCGCTATTGGTAGCCATAAACCAATCGTGACGTGGCTAAGAGCGCGCCTAGTCCGACCGACTTTTCGCGAATGTTCGATATTTGCTGCCATTCTAGAGGTGGCGAGAATTATGCCACCTGCTTTCACGGTATTCTGATGAATTTTCTACGTCCTTCGATTGCCAAATAAAAGCACAATTCACTTGCCTATTGAGACAATCAAGTGGAAGTGACAGTGCAGTACGCAGCTATTCATTTTTAATTCTTCTTCATTTAGTTCTTTCAGGGATATAAAATGATTTGAAATTTTATATAATATCAGACAATGGAAGTCCGAACTAATGAAATTCATCATGAAACATTGTCAATCACCTTATAACATCTACATCATTATCATCTTTTTTTTTCAATGAAACCGTTCAATATAATTTTTTTTACTTATTTTATTTTCAAGTTTTCAGTTTCTGATTTTTATCCACCCTAATGCTACACAGTCTTCGTCTTCGGTTGATGACCCGAAGACGATCGAAACGTCGGTAACTTGGTTTAATTTTCATTTCCTTTTTTGTTTAATTGTTCAATTTTCAATTTTTTGCTTGTGTTTCATTTCACTGTGATTTCATTTCAGGTTTTTTTTGCTTAATATACCTAATCGTTATTTTCAGCTATTCATTTTCAATTGTATTAGTTCTTTCAGGGATCTCAAATCATTTTATATCATATCATATTAGACAATAGAAATCCGAACTAATGAAATTAATCATGAAACATTGTCAACCACCTTCAAACAAACATAAATTAGATTATTCAGAAAGCCATTGACAGTGGCTTCATATTTGTGTGTTTTGCTTTGATCTTTAAAAAGCGTATTTCTTTCTTTATGTAATATGATCATTTTTCTGTCTTGTTTAATAATTTTATTTTCTATTCACGTATCAAAGAGTTCACTACATTTAAAACTAAAATTTGCTTTAATTGATCACCTCAAGTTATATATTCGGGGAAATTTAAGCATTGAAGTGGCCGCCTTCCTTTTCCGACGTATGAGAGCGAATGACATTTTTTGGAAAATCTCTCATTTTGAGGAAATGCACAGCTGTAGCTGATTAAAAATGTGAATATTCCGTACTGAAATGTACACGGTTTAAGTTACTTACTGAAATTTATATTTATAAATAGAAATATGGATTTTATCAATCAATATCACTAGACTCCAAATCCCCATTCTCCCCTAATATCTGTAAAAGGGTCCCGCTTTCAATCTAGAACAGACGGAAATTTCAGAATTTCTTTTGATTATTTGGATACCTTGAGGGGGACCATATTAGGACATATTTTGGATATCCATTTCTCAAGTCCAACAATTTTTGGCATTTTCAGGCATATTCCGACCTATATTGGATATAAATTGGAGAATATTCGATGTTGACTAGGTATTTACGTCTTTCAGTATTCTCGAAGTATGGAGAACCTCAAAATATGATTAAAAAATCGCAATGAGCTCTCAACGATATCAATAAGCTTCCACGCATACCAAAGTTTACTCTTGAGTAAAAATAGAAAGTTATAACATTACCCCCATCATTCTTTCATTTATAAAGATAACATATAAGATTTCAAAGAAATGATGAGGGTTCACAACATAAAACACGCATTAATAGTCGAATGATAAAACTGAAGAACAACACAGAAAAATGAATACAGTTAAAACACGATATGCATCAATAGGGTGGGCTCTTCAATAAACAGAACATTCCTAGCTACTGTCACCTCTATTGAGGAACTTTATAAGCATTGTTTGTTCATTAATGTAAAAATTTCAAAGTTATATGTACACCTTGTAACTAATAGTTTCTATGGAAACCTTTCAACTGCATACAAACATGACCCTTAGTAAACTTGATTATACTCATTTTCCGACCACCAGTCTATTTATTTGCAACAGTTTGATATTACTTGGTAAACATAGGCCAAAAAGTTACTAAAGGCTCTCCAGAAATGGAAGAAGACAATTCTTGGGTGTTTGACTCTCTAGTTTGTTTTTTGAACGGTCCCATTTGGAACGCTCCTCTTCAGACATTCATCGAGGAGAAATCTCTTAGTAAGGCGGTCTCATATTTCAAATCACCCTATGTAAAACTTGCTTTTTTGCAGTTTTTGAACCGAACGTCGAAGACAATGAGGAGTACAAACATATTTTCGATGAATATAAAAATTTGGTAATTATTTTGCAGATTCGTTTATATTTTGTTCGCTTAACTGTTTTTTGCTAGGTGGATTTTATGCTCGGAAACTTTATGGAAGATATTGGAATAACACCAGAACAATTTGAAAATGCTTGTATTGAAGGAAAGAAACATCCAGTATCATTTGATCAAGTAAGTATAAGCAGTTTTTCCTTTTAACATTTTTTTGGTACTTGAGTTATATCAAATTGCGAACTAGGTACACACCATATAAGGTATTACAAATTCTGTGGTGCATAGAAGTATTAATAAATATAGTATCTTTGAT